ACATGATCCACTCTTACAGCTCCTTTAGAGATACAATCTCTAACAGTGTTGAGCTTTCTTCTAATTGACGTCTTTTACCATTATAATAACAGTTCTCGATTTTTGCAATAGCCGCGGTACTATCGCAGTGGATTAACCCAACTGACATATGTTTTTCCCATAAGGGAATCTCAATTAGCAAGCATATTAACAAACTTGCTTCTTCACTAGCAGTCGTTAATGCTATATTCTCAGGATAGTATATTTCTTTGATTTCCAAGATACAACTCCTCTAGCTATGTTGAATACATAGCCATTAGTTGCTTTGGAATCATCTGTACAACAGGAAATCTTCAAGTACAACAGGAAATCTTTGATAATGTAAACTGAGATTCATGGTCCTTTTAAGGTACCATATGACTCGCTCAATAGTTTTCAATGTTCATTACTCGGTATACTAGTAAACCTGCACAATAATCCCACGACATATGCAACGTCGGGTTTAGTACAATCAATAGAATACCTAAGACTTCCAATGATGCTCGCATATTCTATTTGTCTAACACTTTCACTAGTGTTCTTAAACAACTTCACTCTTGGATCATTTGGTGTGCTCACAGGTTTACTGTCAAAGTAATTATATTTATTTAAGATCTTTTTCACATATTATGATTGATCCAAATAAATTATTTGCTCGGATCTCGTGATCTTGATACCAAGAATCACACTCGCTTCTCCGAGGTCTTTCATATCAAAGTTGTTGCACAACAATGATTTCATATCATTAATGGCCTGAATGTTTGATCCAAATATGAGTAGATCATCTACATTTACACATATAATAGTGCAAATTCAATTCTCAAATTTGTAATAAACGTATTTGTCACTTTCATTCACTTTGTACCCATTCGATGTCATTAAGTTATGAAACTTTACATGCCATTGCTTTGGAGCTTGTTTTAGCCCATACAAATACTTATCTAACTTACATACCTTATTTTCTTGTCCATGGATCAAAAATCCTTCCGGTTGTTCCATATAGATTTCTTCTTCTAAGCACCATTTAAAAAAGTTGTTTTAACATTCATTTGGTGTACTATTAAGTTATAAATAGCAGCTATTGAAATAAGTACCCTAATGGATGTAATTCTAATGACAGGAGAAAAGGTGTCGAAGAAATCTATATTTTCTCTTTATCTAAAACCCTTGGCAACAAGGCGAGCCTTATATTTATAAATAGTTCCATCAGGTTTTAGTTTCTTTTTCAAAACCCATTTACAACCGATTGGTTTGTAACCAAGAGGCAAGTCTACTAAGTGTCAGGTCTTGTTAGATTCTAGAGATTCTATGTCATCATTGATAGCTTCTTGCCATAAATTAGCATCCAGAGATGACAAGGCTTCTTGAAGATTCATTGGATCTTCTTCTACATTATAATCCGCATAATCAAGCCCATAGTCTTTAGCAACTCTTACTCGTTTACTTCATCAAAACTTTATTTCTATATTGTTGTTGCTTTCTGTGCTTCTTATCACAGGAATGTGACTCGATTGTGCGCCCCCGCTATTTCTCAATTTGAAAGGAAATTTGTTTTCATAGAATTCAACATCATTTGATTCTATGATCACTTTTGCCTTTAGGTCATAAAACCTATATGCTTTACTGTTTGCTGCATATCCAATAAATACACATTCATATGCTCTACTAACGATTTTAACTCGTTTCTGATCCGGAATTCTGACATAAGCCAGACAGCCCCAAGTTCTTAAATAAGACAAGTTTTATTGTCTTTTCTTTAATGTCTCATAAGGAGAGATCTTACATTTTGACTTGGGGACTCTATTCAGGACATATCAAACAGTCAGTAAAATTTCCCCCCACCAGTGAGGTGCAACACTAGAATTCAATATAATTGCAACAAGTTCAGTAAGAGTCATATTCTTTCTTTCTGCTTTACCATTCATTGCAAGATAGTATGGTGTTGTTGTTTCATGTACAATTCCATGTATAAAGTTCATTAATAAACTAGAATCATACAGTTTCTCTATCACTATAAATTCTTATTATATCATTTTCAAATTCGTTACAAAAATTTTAAACATATAAATTTCATTCTTCGTAATGACGTACAAATCTACCCCAATAGACTGACTAAACCCTGTCTTATATAAAAGAAAATCAGAAATAATATTCTTTCTAATCTTAGGAACATGCATAACGCTATTTAAGATTAAAGTCTTTTTGAAGGTGAAATTTAGCTCCATGTCTACAATTCCAACAACATTCATGGTCTGGCCATCTCCCAACAACACTTTCTTATCTTTAGTATTTGTGTATGTTTTAACATAACACGATCATAACAGACACAACGAGAGACGCATGTATCTATCCACAAACCAACATATCCATCAACCATGTTGATTTCAATGATTATAGTAATAAATTGCCCACTAGTCAGGTTGACATGTGCATTAGGGACAACATCAAGTTCAAGCTTACTTCTACATTTCTTAGTCATATGATTTTATTTTCCATAGTTAAAACAAAGGGAAACTAACGTCATTTCTTTTAGGTGGTGGTTGTTGCCTAGTTGGAGCTATTGGGATCATAGAAGAGTTCCCATTCTTAATTCGGTTCATAATATTGTGGTTCTGATTCTTTAATCATTTGCTAAATGACTTCAGAACTACACCGAATTTCTTTTTGTTGTTTGAAACAACCAAGACTTTTTATTTTTGGTATTGTCTCTAAGATTCCTTTTTTTTTAACTCAAGGCGAATAATCAGATTCTCAATCAATTTTTTTTTTATTTGTGGCGAAGCAAAGTTATTTTTTTTAAAACATTCAAACTATGAGGTAGTTTGTCAATAATAAAACCAATTTGAAATTGTTCATTTAAACACATACCTTTTGTGATGAGCTTTTAAGGAATCTTTTGAAGTTCGTAACATTGAGCCTCCATCGACCTTACATCTTTGCATTTGATACATGAAGTAGCGGCTAACAACATACTTCTTTGCTCCAACTTTTACGTCATACTTCTTTTTTTAGTCTCTTAATTTTGTTTTGCAGTATCACATCAACTGTAATTATCATACAGATCATCTACGAGTCTATTCAAAATATGATTTTGTAGAGATTTTCATTCTCTTTCTATAAGGTGATTTCTTTCCTATGCTGTAAATCATTCGCTTTAATCTGTGCAGCAGATTCAACTTCAACACCATTAAGTGTTTCTTCTAAATCTCCAGATTTACTACCGTTAGTTTGTTCGATTGATCCAGAAGGAGCAACAGAATGTCATCGATCAGAATGTTAGCAACTTTTTTTCAACGTTAAGAACTTCATCTTTTGTTGCCACCGTTTGAAGTGACTTCCCTCAAACATGAACGATTTCTCAAAGACAATATCCGCAAAAGTACCAATAACTTATTCGGTAGTCATGGCAGTTTGAAACGTCTTAAAATTGTTGTTTTCGGATTTTGAAATATTTGCCACCGAAGAAATTACCAGGTTGAGTCGCGGACTAAGTCGCTCTCTTTAAGACGTTTCGCGACACAACTCAAAATTATGCAAAGCAGTTGAACTACCGCACCGCCTCTAGGATAAAACAATCCAGTTTTATACTGTACGATTACTACTTGCATGGTAGATAATCGATCTAGTAATACACCCTTTAATGGTACAAGACCATTCAAATATAGTATCAACACCACTCGTAGTATCCGGTACAAAGATCAGTCATAATAATTTCTCAAACCAAGAGAAAAACTCAAATAGTTCTCCAAAGAGAAATTAATAATGATCATTTGACCACTCATAATAATTTCTCCAACAAAGAGAAATTCAAATCATTCTCCAAAGAGAATCCAAAAAATTAAACTTGAAAATTTCTCAACTAAAATGAGAAGAAATTAACATAATTCTCTAAAGAGAATTCAAGAAATACTCGGAAAATTCAACGAGTAGGAAAAAAGAGGAAGAAGATGACACTTTGACAATTCGAGAGACGCAGAATTATGAGAGTGAAGAAGGAAAAACTAATAAAATAGTTTTTAGTGTGATCTGAAATGAAACATGTGCACTCCTTTTATAGTGAAGTATGATAGTTAATATTTCTCACATGAGCAAAATAAAACTAACTGACTTTTTTCAACCAAAAAATATTCTAACAATGTTGGACATGAAAAAATTTTAAATTCAACATATATTAAAGTGTTCTAACATTTTAAACAAGATGTGCATTAAATACTCTACTATTAAAGTTTCAAAAAGATATATATATACTTAGGTTCTTTTGTCTTTCCACTTTACTGTGAAAAAGATTTGAAAGCTTAAAACAACTTGACGTTTACTCGAGTCTTTACGTTAGCCACCGGACTATCTCCGGTTACGTGAATTCTTATGCGCTTCCCTTGCGTAAATAATTCAACCAAACATATTTAATTTAAAATATTTGCTCCTTTTCCCTTCCTTCCAAAAACCTTCAAACAGATTCATATGAAATTCTGAAACGTTTCAAAGAATAGATGAGTTCAGTCGAGAACTACCAAATTGGTTTTTAAATCCCTCCTATTATTGAACTAAACGCAACTTGTAATATATATGTTTCATACCCTTTGATTCTAATTAACCGAACTGTGAGTTATCCAATCCATTTCCAGTTACCAAAACAATCTTGACAATGCCGACTTAACAGGCAAGTGCGTTGGCAAGGAGGCAGATGCAGTTGCCGATAATTGAGGTGAATAAATGTAATTTCTATGGTGCTAAGATTTGATTTTGTTGGGTACACCATGAACTCTAAGAATATATCAACTTAGTGGCATAAAAATGTTACCTGGATTCAAAAAGTGGCTGAAACCATTTGGTTATGTTTTTCATCAAATTAGTAACCATCTTAAGAGAAACACATAATCACAACCAGAATAATTAATCTACCACCACAAAGGATGTTATAGTTGCATGAGGTAGTTGATGTTTTTCATTTTCAACCAAAACTCAATACCGTAAATGGAGTATTAATTTTCCATTAAATAGAGACTCGGATTCCTCAAAATATTGATTTTGTTTCTTAAATCGAACTCTCCAACTAACTTTGGTTTCTTAAATCGAGGCTCAGATTCTTCAAGTAGTTGGAGCTTGAATCCAATAGCCTGTGCCAATTTCTTGTCCTCTTCAGCATTATAGAAACAACCCCTTTTCTTAGCATCAAGAACTACATTTCTCCAAACCGAGTCACTGTTGATTAAAGTAGTTGCATTCCCTAATATCCAAAGACAATATCTGAACAAAAAATTAACTCAGTTTTCTGTAAATTTAGTAACAGCATAGCAAGATTGAAAATAATAGCATATAACAATACCTGGCCCTAGTCATAGCCACATTTGTTCTTTGTCTGTTTGAAAGAAAACCGACGTTGCCACTCCCGTTAGATCTCACCGTAGATATTATTATGATGTCTTCCTCTCCACCTTGGAAGCCATCCACAGAACGAACATTAACAGAGAAGCCAGAATTAGAAATCCAAGTGTACAGGTACTGCTTAACTTTCTCCTGGATTTCATAAACTTGAGCATTATACGGAGATATTATTCCTATGCTAACACTCTTCCTTGTCCTTCTGAATACTGGCAGAATAAAACAAAATATAAATACATACTCATGTTGAAAACTTCTTATTCAGTACTATACAACATAAAAGTTTAAAAGAAAATAAAATTTTACCTTTATAAAGGTTTTGAATTATCTCAGCAATAACAGCAACCTCAACCATGTTCTTCCGACTTTGTCCATGTACAAGTTTCTCTTTACCTTTAGCTATGTTAATGAAAGAATAAGAAGAATACATTTCTCCTTCAAGGAAAAGCTTCTTATAGCTTTCTTCTCGGACAACTGGAGCATCAGATAGTTTTCCATCATAGAATTCTTTGCATGGGAACAAGCTAATGGATGGATGCATCCTATATTGAATATTAAGCATTTTCCTTTCGAATCCCAACCTTACAAGCCTCTCAAACATGCTTCGCCCAAATTCACACTTATCTGCAACCTACAAATAATAGTTTTAAACATATTAGAGAAAACCTTCAATTGCATAGAAAAATCAATTACTAAATGTAATGATTAAGTACCTTGCTTTTTACCAATGCAGGAAGTTGTCTATCATCTCCGATTAGGATGCAGTGCCGGAGACCTAGCAACTGTAATGGAATTGTTGATTCACATTCTTTTAGCTGTGCGGCTTCATCGATTACTAAAAATTGCACTGGTTTCACCATTCGTAAGTTTTGCATTTTAATAGAACTTGATGCAGTACAAAAAATTAGAAGAGTATTCGACAAGCAAAACTCTGCTACTTGCGCTCTATTGCGAAATTTAGGAAGGGAAACTGTCTCAGAAAGCGAACTTAGGATGCTAAGGCACTCATCTTTTTTGACGTACAACGGTTGAAAGTAAGCAGGAATGCTTTCATCTATACAATCAAAGTTAGTTTCCTTGAATTTGGCTTGCATCAAGGAATTTCTCATAGACCTTAGCAAATCAAGAGCATGTCGCATTTTTTTGACCATTTCCTGTGAAATGAGAGATGTTGGCATGTGCATGGTAAAATATTGCAATTTCTCATAGTGAGTGTTGAATAAAGAGGGTAATAGAAACCTTGTCTTTGTAAAGATTTTCATTCAGAACATCCTCCATGGGCCATGAGAGTACAACATCTAAAAGACTGTCGGGTTTAACATTCTCTTCACTTGCATCACTAGTATTCTCCATCATCTGCATTTTCTCTTCACTTGCATCACTAGTATTCTCCATCATCTGCATTTTCTCTTCACTTGCATCACTAGTATTCCCCATCATCTGCTCTTTCTCAATCTTTTAAAGCAATCATTAAAAAAAATCAGTATACATGCTACTAATTAACCAAAACCTAAGGATATATAGAAGGGAACTACCTAAGAAACTAGGAAACAGTTTAAGACATGTCTTGTTCAACCTTTCAAATACACGTGATCAACTTTGCAACTTAGAGTGAATATGAGAGGTTTCATGCATAGTTGAGTAAGTTTAATGATTTCTTTACTTCTTTATTTTTTTATATGTACTTTACTGATTTTTAAAATTTCAAAAAAGTTATTTTAATCATGTGAGAGACGAGGAGAGAAAATCCTGAGTATTTATGTAATTACTACAATACGTGTAGTAGAATTAACGAAAGTGTTGTTAATCATAGCAATGCTAGTTTTAATACGGCGCATGGTTGTAGTTTCATTGGAATTTGGAAATTACAAGATGTATTGTCTTCTAAACTTCTATAGCTCCTCTTCATGCTTGAACTAAATTAAAATATTTTGGTATTTTAATATCCTTTTGAGTAAATGACTTTTCATTATTTTGTCGATGTGAGTTTTTTTAAGGGAAAGTGGAGCACAATGGTAAGATAACACTCCTAAGCTCGTAAGTTCAAGAGCACTATAAAAAACGTTGCATCCTATACGCCGGCCTAGAATCAGGTTTTGCATCGTATGACGTATACACTCTCTTGGTAGAAAGCCACTACAGAGCATAGGTGGTGGAGTCTTGATTACGCGGCCTAGAATCAGGTTTTTACATAGGGGCATAGAATGTGATTAGAACCTTTATCGGGCTCAATCCTCAAAGACGTCGAGATAATGATGAAACAAAATCATTAAGAATACACAATGATGAAAAAAGATACACAATTATGAAACAAAATTATTAAGGATGCATGATGATGAAATAAAATCATTAGAATTTTGAAGCCTATTTGTAAGTAAAAATTGTTGCAAAAAGTAGGTGGGTGGTGCGCTTTGATTTCCCCCATGACCTCCCGATCGACCTCAGGCATTGTTGACTTAGATCTCTTTGAAGGTGGCTCCTGGTTTGGAGCTTTTCCACTATACATATCCATGAAATCATCCTCGGCCACCTTTGAACGTTCCACAACACAATTTTCTGGTCTATAATTGGATCTTTTGTTGCGGGCCTCAGAATATATTTGGTTGTGACTTGTCGTATCTTTCTTCCCAGGGTGCTATTGTGCATGTTCTGGGTTAAGAATTTTACTTCCGCCCAAATCCACGATCGAGTCTAGAGGAGAGGCAGTCATATTCTTTGCCAATGTCTTATTCCACTTGATTAAATTCAGACTTCCCTTTAATGACACACACACTATAAAACAGAATAAACTTAAGAGTTAAGGTATATTCTAAAAGGTCAACGGAATACAAAATGTTCCTCACAAAAGATCTGATTTCTTTATTGACTTCTGATCGACTTTACTAGCAATTAGTATCATCTCTTTTGTCAAAATAATGACATGTTTGAAGAGTTCGCCCCTTCCATAAAGCCCAAGCTCTCCTAGAAAGCAACCAGGTTAGCCTTCAGGTCCTCTTCTTCTGACGTCAGCTCCTATGATGGAAGTACGTAAGAAGAGGGTGAAAAACTAGAAGCATTAAACCAAATTCTAATTAAAGAGTGAAATGTAGATAATGATATGAAGAATTCTTATCTAGAATTGAACATCTAACTTATTTTATAATATAACTTTATCTATCATATTACAATTTTCTAATGCAATTTGAAAAGTTATATATTCTGTAAGGTGTTGAAAAAACACGCAAACCACGTAAGATATAATAAACTCATCTAAAACAAACCTTAAAAAACAAATAATGTACTTGTTCCATAATGGAATCCAAACTGAAAGAAAATGAGGATGAAGCTGAAGTGAGAGCAACAAACATATGTTTGCAGTGCTCACACAAGTTTGTTGCGCTCATTTTAGCTTCATCCTCGTTAATTTTTTCATTCACCCATCCATCTATATTGTAACACGGTGGGAGAACTGACTTGGGGTTTTTGCGTTTTATCGCAAATGTTGCAGATAACAAGAGTCACCGTCGACTTTTCTTTTATCCAATAAATGAAGGGGTGTGTAATACGGTGGAAGAACTGACTTGGGTGTTTTGCGTTTGATCGCAATTGTTGCGGATAGCAAGAGTCGCCACTGACTTTTCTTTTATCCAATAAAGGAAAGGGTGAAAAGAAAATGAAAGACCTTTTGAGAATTTTCTTGAGTTCGAGGGGTAGGTTATGAAAAGGAAAAGTGTTAGCATCATTTTCATCCGTAGTTATCTACGGGCTCTTAGTTGCTAGCTCACTTTTGAAAATGATTTGTAAATGTGTTGGTGTTTGTTTGAAAGTATTTTTGAAAAGTGCCTTCATTTAGGCTAACTTTGTAATGATTCTCGTCTCTATAAGAATGTATACAAAGTGTTGACTTTTGAAAATATTTCATGAAAGTGTTGGTGTGTTTGAAAGATGTTTTGTTTTGAAATGTTTGTGAGCAAGCAACTACGAGCGTTCTACCTACTCAAAAGAAAGTCTTTGTTCTTTTCCTCCTCCTTTAGATAGTGTTATCTTACCATTAGTTAGTAAGAAACCTTATCATTGGATGTGAAGGGACAAGCGTGGGTCATTGCACAGTCATAGAAGGCAACATTGTAAGATACTTTAACAATTTGCCTTAAGGGTCTAAGATCGTTTACCGAAGGCAATGTCGAAGGGTCATCAAGGGACTACGATCTTGTAAGCGAAGGTTTTTACTAAGTATTCCACGTTCGAGGGACATGACTGTTTTAATCTAAGGTAACAAGTGTGGGTTAATCCTAGAGGTGTAAGTGTGCAAAGTGTTTTTTGTTTTCATGCAATAATATGTTTTAAGGCAACGAGCAGTGCTGCCATGGCCGGGTCGGTGTTGAGAGGGATAGGAACTGGTTGCAAGATTTCTGGAAGTTCCTCAGCAGGATTCTTGGAACGTCCTTCGTCCAAGAGTTGGTCGTCACCACGTCGAGCATCAGCGGAATCAGGGGACGCGGTTTGTCCGTCACGAAAGCCCAGGTTGTCCTCAAGGCGAGGGTGTTCCTGACTTCCATCATTTTTGCGATCAGGGGAAAGGATGGTCTTTCTGGGAAGGTAAAGATTATTATGGTTGGCCATGATAAGATAGATGGATCTTGAAAGAAAAGTTGCGTTGATCTTAGGTTCTGAGGGAAGAAAGATGAGGATAGTAGTTTCCCACACACGGCGCCACTGATCTTGCGGTTGATCAGAACCTGGAGAGTGGCTGGAGGATGATCTTCAGTCGGGCTGAGGAGAGAGGGGTTGTACCTACAAGGTACTCCAACGATCAAGTAAGAGTGGGAGCAAGAAGGTACTAGCAAAATATCAGGTAGTGAGTAGTGAAAATGTGATATCTGGACCTCACAGGTGTGGGGGTTTATATATTGCCCCTGGCGCGTGGCCATTAATTCCTGATTTCCCACCTAGATATGCGGGTCTGGAAAATCGGGTAATTGCCAGGACTTGGTCAAACCGGGCAGATGTGCTCGTAACTAGTTGTTGGTTCCGAGGAGGAGGCTGGTTACAGGCATCTCTCTGGTCGGTCCCTGGTGGCCTGCGCGGTGTTGGTGCCGGGCAGGCTGAGAAGACGCTCTACGGGAATCTTGGATCGGAGCTGGACCAGAAGGGCAAGAGGGTGATATTGCCCAACGGGTACGGGCAGTCCGGGTCACGATCAGTGGGTGGCACCTATGCGATGTCTTAGACTGGGTCTACTCAAGCTTTCGGGCCAGTCCATAACAAATATCAACTAAGTGGTATGATTAATCATGTACTGACGAAGACACTTAGAAGCATAAGCTAAAGCACAACAAGTCTTTTAGGTCATAGAGTATTAAGACTCACACTAAATTTCTTACTCAATTAGTAGATGACGTGCTCTTTTCTACCCGTTTCATCTTGTTAACCAAGTACACAACCCATGAAATCTTCCAATATAGTAAAATAAATAATCAAAATCCTTACTTCTACTAGAGGAATAAAAATATGAGACTCAATCAAATATTCTTTGATGCTATCAAACACTTCTGACAATCTTATGTCTAAACACAACCTTAGTCTTTGTGGATAAGCTTGAAAATCGGCCTACAAGTAGCATCCATGTGAGATATGAACATGGAGATGTAGTTCAAATGCCCGAGGAATCCTCTTACTTGATTTTTTGTCTTGGGTGTGGGCATCTCTTGAATAATTATGACTTCATCAGGATCTACCTCAATACCTCGTTGGCTGATAATGAAACCCAAAGGTTTTTCTGAACGGACACCGAAAGTGCACTTGTTAGGATTCAAGCAGAGTTTATACTTCCTCAAATGATGAAAGAACTTCAACAAATACTCCACATGGTTTTCTTTAGTCCTCGACTTAGAGACATGTCATCTACATAGACCTCTATATCTTTATGAATCATATCATGGAAAAGAGTAGCCATAGATCTCTGGTACGTTACACCGACATTCTTCAAACCGAAAGGCACCGCCCTATAAAAGAATGTTCCCTATGGTGTAATAAATGTTATATTTTCCATATCTTCAGGCGCCATCATAATCTGATTATAACTAGAGAATCTGTCCATAAAAGAGAAGACGTTGAACTTAGTTGTATTATTGACCGACATATCAATATGCGACAACGGGAAACCATCCTTCGGGATGGCTTTGTTCAAATCTCTGTAATCCACACACATCTGGACCTTGCCATATTTATTAGGAACAAGAACTATGTTGGATAACCATTAAGGATAAATTTATGTGACAAGGAAACCTGCATCAATATGCTTTTGAAACTCCTCAATGATCTTAACAGCCATATCATGACGAGTCCTCCTCAACTTCTGTTTAACTGGTGGACATTATGGCTTTAACGGCAAATGATGCTCCACGATATCAGTACCCAACCATGGCATATCTTGATAAGAACAAGCAAACACATCC